GAGATGACCTTTGAAGAAAAACTCATGAAAAGAAGTGTGGTAGAAGAAAATAAATATATCTTTCGGACCACAACCTGAGTATGTGCAATGAGATAGGTTGGGCGTTGTGAAAAGAAAAAAAAAATTGATAGTAGAAGCAAGGTGGGGTAGACAATTTTTTTTATGAGTTACTGTCTTTCTAAAAAAAAAAAATGAATGAAAAAAATTTTGCAGAAAAATAGGAAGAAGTAGCTGGTGAGAAGTACTTGAAATGAGGTACATTACATAAGGGTTTGTGCTAATGTTGGAAGGAAGAGTTCAATCAATGTGAAAGGGTAGAGGGTGAATAAGAAGGGAAGCAAGAAGGTGATTGTTCATGGTCATTTATTGTAAAATATTAAGTCTCTTAAATTTTGTTAAAATTCCGTTCTATTCTTTCATAAACCATTACCCTAGCCTAACGTTACAACCATGATAAAGACCTAATGATCTAAGGTAGTGATTGGATTCTACATTAGTGGAGAGTGGTTTGAAAAGTGAGCCTATGGAGTTTGATTGTACATTTGTTTTATTTTCTTACTTTGCCTATGAAAGCTATGCATAAAATCATATGGGTTTTTGGATGAATGGTTTGTGAATGATTATGAGAGGGTCAATACCAAAAGTGTAGTTGAAATTCACTTATTCTTTGCATTTGCGTGTTGTTAATTATTCTATTTGTTCACATTGACACTATTTTTGAGACGATTATATGTATGGATCCTAAAATGTTTGTTTGAGTCTTTAGTTTTGAGTCTAGGTGAGGTTAGGTTTGGATGTTTGTGGGTATCATCGCTAGAAACCCTCACAAGACTACAACTTGTCCAACTAGGGCCACCTAGGGGTTTAAAGGCTTGTTGCATACGCTAAATGCAACCGTGACAATCTACGAAAGTGACTTAGGATAGTTTAGATATAGGTTTTCATTGTTTGTTTTATTTTCAAGCTTAAAGACATGTTTTATCGCTTAATTTGCTAGGGACTAGCAAGAAGCTGGTTGGAGGTTGTGATAAAAGCTTGAAAATACATATTTTGTTAGTAATTCAATTGGATTATTCATGGAAAAATATGTTTAATTTGTGAAATTTAACTTAATTATTTCATAAATGTCTTTTATGGGATCATAGGTATATTTTAAGTGTTTTCAGGTTCTTAAAGATGATATTCAGATGAATGTTATATCGATGTTGGAATGTCGGACGACAAGAATCAAATGGTTCGTGATTTGGAGCTCCAACGAAGAAGTTAGGGCGATTTGAAGTTAAAGTGAAAATCCTGGAAAATGCTCTAGTTTTGAACATGCAACAGTAATTCGACAAGAACTTGAGCTGTAGATTTTTGATTGAGATGATTCTTGAACCGTTGGAAATCTGATTCAAAGGGCTACAATTCATATATTTACCACTTGGCAAGATTCAAAAGTTATCATACTCAAAAACCACTGTCTTGTCAAGATTTCGAGTTCTGGGGCAGAATCAACTATGCCTAGGCACAGTGCCGCGGCACAACTACGAATTTGGACTTTTTTAGATTAAATTTATGACGTGTATTTCCTGTTTTAAGAGTTATAAAGTGATTAGGATAGTGGGAATCATAACCCTAAAACCCTAGGAGTATAAATAGATGTCTTTAGCTGATTTTTAAGAGGGAGAAGGGAGAGAAGTTCAGCGGCTTTTTGGAGATTGCAAATTCCTGCAATTTTGAGTCACCAATTAGAGAAGTTTTTCTACTCTTTCTCATACTCATGTTTATGAATACAATAGCTTTTATTATTGAAAGTATGAACTAATTTTATTTTCTAGGGCTAAGATGTAGCTCAATTTTATGAATATGCATTGAATTATTTGTTGCTAATTTTTATTAAGTTCTGTTTTAAGTTTTATTATTGTGCTTAAAGCTTTCAATTCTTAAGGGCCCTAGAGTTGAATGATTTTATGGGTTAGGTTGAGATCGAGAGATAAAACTTAATTAGTCTAAGGTAATAAAACCATAAATTGAGCGAACGCTAGAGATAGGTTACCGCGATCTATGAAGCTTTGGTAAATTCTATAGAACTTAATGATCTTCAATTGTTTAAATCTGATTAGAGATAATTCGGATTAGTAATTAGGAGTTAATTTGTTAATCTTTCTAGAGAAAGTTAGAGAAATGTTAGGGAGTTTGGTCTTTAGAATAAGCTTAATTGGGTTAACGATAATTGTCAATGCATAGGATTAAATTGGTGTGAAATCTATGCCCTAGGTTTAGTCATATTGATTTCCTACTAAAGTGTAAATAAAAGTCTGTTTTTATTTTGTTTCTAAGTTGTTTTAATTTTTCATTGAATCATTCTGAAAATCTAATTAATCAAATAGCAATAAGATAAGTTAGTGTGGTACTTGGTATTAGTAATTCCCTTGGGTTCGACATCTGTATTCTTACACTTTATTACTTGCACTATTTCATACACTTGCTAAAATCAACAAACACAACCACCTTGCACACTCAAGTGAATAAAGTTCAAAGTATTCATGGAGGACCAAATGTGATCAGAGATTCAAATCGCACTAGAGCCCAATACGCTTGGGACGTAAGAACCGATTCCGTGCCGTAGGTCCTCAGTCTGGAAAATAAACCCATAAAAAGGTCAAGGGCTGAAATTCAGATAACAGGCTTCACAGAAGAAGAAGCTGGGATGATTCAACACCCTCATTGCAACACGATAATCCTTAAAGCATAGATCAATAACAATGACATTTTCTGAACAATGGTGGACGACGGAAGTGTGGTCAACCTCATTTGCCTTAAAGCTTTCCATAAAATGGGATTTAGAGAGCAAGACCTAAGACCTTTGTCAACACCGCTTTATGGGTTCATCGGTGACCACATAATCCCAAGATGCCCGTCACCATGGGTGAAGAATAACATACAACCAACTGATGGCAGACTTCTTAATAATCAATGGTCTGTCAGCATACAACGCAGTATTAGGAATGTCACTCTTTAAAGAACTAAGGATCATCACCTAAATTTATTGCCAAGCATGAAGTTCCTGACCGTGATAGGAATCAGCCTTTTTCGAGGTTCACAGACCAATTTCAGAGAATGTTATAATAAGACCATCGACAAAACACAAAAGGAAAAAGAAATCATCGACCATGGCAATTGTGAAGAACAAGCCGCAACCAAGATCACCCGAGGATACAATCAATCTCTGCGTCCATAGAGAAGACCAGCCAACGAGTCCCATAGAGGAATTGTGCAAGATCCCCATCAGCAAGCAGGATCCGACTCGATTTCTCAAGATTGGAAAGAACCTCAACAAAGAGTTGTTGCAGCAATTGATCAATTTCTTGGTGGAGAATTTAGATGTCATCACTTGGGTCCATGCTGACATGGTTGACATCAGCACCAAAGTTATGTGCCACAAGCTAAACATCAACCTTGAGGCTCGACCCATCCGCCAAAAGCGGAGGTCGATGGACAACAAACTCCTTAGCAATGACTTCATCAGGGAGGTAAAATACCCTAGCTGGCTCGTCAATCCGGTCCTCGTCAAAAAGTCAAACGATAAATTGCGAACTTGTTTCAACTTCACCAACCTCAACAAGGCATGCCCAAAAGATAGCTTCCTACTGCCACGGATGGACCAATTGGTGGACGCAACAGCCGGACACGCCTTGCTCAGCTTCATGGACACATACTCGGGATACAATCAAATCCCAATGTACAAACCTAATAAGGAAAACACATCCTTTATCATTAACTAAGGAATCTATTGTTACAAAGTCATGCCATTTGGCCCGAAGAATGCAGGAGCAACCTACCAGCAACGTGTTAACAAGATGTTCGCAGAGCTTATTGGAAAAGTCATGGATGTATACGTCAATGATATGTTGGTAAAGTCAATGGTCATCGAGTCCCACATAGAACACCTCGAAGAAATGTTCGGCGTTCTCCAAAAATACCCAAAGTTCCCAAGCCATTAATCGCGGGTGACGGATAATGTGTTTTTCCGGCTGTCCTTTGCCATATTCCAGCCGTTCTTGAAATCTTCTCGATCTTTGAATGCTTTATGGAAGCAAGTGTTTGTGTCAAGTTTCAGTCACTTTCTATTTTATAATAACTAAAACTCGTGAAATGGTCAATAGAAAAAAATTCAAACCAGGTGAAACTGAACATGAGAGCTGAACCCCTGAATTTGTAAAGTAGGTGGCTGACTTCTAAAATTATGTTTTATTTACCTTATTTACTTCTACAATTCTATTTTATATTCTTTGTGTACCCTCCAATTTTATAAGTCAAGATTTGCATTAGGTGCACATTGTGAAGTATTTTTTAACTTGATTTATGGCATTCTTTTGATTTTCGCAAACATTTTCAAGGCCTTTAAGGTTGGGTAACTTACAGTCAAAAATCGTTAGGGAGAAGATGTGAACCATAACTTGGTAACACAATAATATACTTGCCCTCCCTTACAACTTCTAATTTGTTAATTTTCAAGTTCATTTATAAAAAAACAAAGTGGCTGTGCATCATGTGCCTTAAAAATATATACTTCATCTGATCTGGATCTTTTGTTAATATGATGGTAGCAACGTAATGGTAAGCTCATATAGATAATGTAATGGGGGATTTGCAAATGTGCCTACTGCGCTTTTTTTTATCCCCATCTCTGTGGAAATGGTGCGTAAAAGATACTCACCTGTTTCCCACATTCATTGGAGCTTTTATGCACTGAGCACAATGCCATTTTTAATATTTTTGATGTGATGATCTTCTAGTGTAATTTGTCTTTTTGATGGAAGATGTTTGTCCAATTGAAAGTAATAGTGTTTATTGCTTTGCTTTACTGGTAATAATGAAAAATAAAATAAATCTTTTGTGCTATTGAATCGCACATTCTCTCTCAAAATAGTTCATGATTAAATTATGCAGTCTCTGTAAAAAAATTCATGATTTCAATTAAATAGTCTCTATCAAAATATTTGTGATTTCATTTATGTGGTCTGGATAGTAAATATTTGGGATCCTGCTGTTTAGTGATGTTAGCATTGTCCTATTGTATCTTGTGAAACATGTTAAATTTTGCTATCTCTTGTACTGAGAATGGCAACTGCTATACCTTTAAGTTTTACTAGGTCATTGCAAAAGTTTAAGGAAATTTGTGCTATTCGTTCTTTTCAGAGATCTGACAGGCATGAGAGGATAATGGAAGGTCTGAACATCACTGATGAAATGTTGAATGCTAACTCAGTTACCAGGCAACTTACTGACCAGATTTCTCTTGCCAAAGCATTTGTCGTGATTGCCAAAGAAAGCAACAATCTTCAATTTGCTTGGGAATTAAGTGCCCAGATCCGCAATTCACAATCCCTTCTTTCTAACGCTGCGACAAGACGAACTCCTTTGACAACCAGAGAATCAGAAACTGCTGTCCGTGATATGGCACTTCTACTCTACCAAGCTCAGCAACTTCATTATGACAGTGCAACTATGATCATGAGATTGAAAGCCAAAATTCAAGCTCTCGAAGAACAGATGAGTGCTGTGAATGAGAAGAGTTCAAAATATGGACAAATTGCCGCTGAAGAAGTCCCAAGAAGTCTTTACAGTCTTGGTGTTAGGTTAACAACTGAATGGTTTGGAAATATAAATTTGCAGAGGAATTATGAGAGAAAGCAAATGGAAGTGAAACTTATAGATAACAGTCTGTATCATTTCTGTGTTTTTTCCGACAACATTTTGGCAACTTCAGTTGTGGTCAATTCAACTGCTTTAAACTCAAAGAATCCAGATATGGTTGTCTTTCATCTTGTAACTGATGAAATAAATTATGCTGCAATGAAGGCCTGGTTTGCTCTTAACAGTTTTAGAGGAGTAACTGTTGAGGTTCAGAAGTTTGAGGACTTCACATGGTTGAATGCTTCTTATGTTCCAGTACTTAAGCAGCTTCAAGATGCTGAAACACAGAGCTATTATATATTTTTCTGGCAGTAGGGGTGACGGGAGGACTCCAATCAAGTTTCGGAACCCTAAATATCTTTCTATGCTTAATCATCTGAGGTTTTATATTCCAGAAGTTTTCCCTGCACTGAAGAAGGTAGTTTTTCTTGATGATGATGTCGTTGTTCAGAAAGACCTGTCGGGTTTGTTTTCCATTGATTTGAATGGTAACGTCAATGGAGCTGTCGAGACATGCATGGAGACAGTTCATAGAAATGATAAATACTTGAATTACTCTCACCCTCTTATACGTGAAAATTTTGATCCTGATGCCTGCGGATGGGCATTTGGGATGAACGTGTTTGATCTGGTTGAATGGAGGAAAAGGAATGTAACTGGTATCTACCATTACTGGCAAGAAATGAAAATAGACCGGACATTGTGGAAACTCGGTACTCTGCCACCTGGACTTTTGACATTCTATGGCTTGAGAGAACCATTGAGTCCTGCTTGGCATGTACTAGGGTTGGGTTATACAAATGTTGATCCTCAGTTGATTGAGAAGGGAGCTGTGCTGCACTTTAATGGAAACTCAAAGCCGTGGTTGAAGATTGGAATGGAGAAGTACAAGCCCTTGTGGGAGAAGTATGTTGATTATAACCATCCTCTATTACAACAATGCAACTTTCACTAATTTTGGACAAGTTCCATCTTTTCCACAACGAACTTGGTGAATCAGAAGAACTAGATTTTGTGATCAAGAATGGTTGTACGATTTTTACGAAGATCAAGCATGGCTATTAGCTGTAACATGGGGTACTTCATGGATGTTCTTCTTGTCTGTTGTTGTATAGATTGTTATATCAGTCCGTTAACTAAAATTTTTTAGTCAGTGTTTTAGATTGAGTTGTAAACATTTTGTTATAAGCTTCAATTCACATTTTTTAAGTCATTCAGTGGAGTTCATTTCACAATACTAAAAGGTGGTCCTGCGAATTTAACGTTGATAAAAGCATTGACAGTAATGCATTTTTAAGAACAAACGTACTTAGATTGTCATGAATCAACTTGTCGTTGTAGTATAGTGGTAGGTATTCTCACCTGTCATGCCGGGTTCGATCCCTGACATCGGTGTACTTTTTCAAATTATTTTTTGGGCTGGACTTCTATTTTTTCAAATTGTTCATAGTGTGTTTTTTGTGCTAGACTTCTATTTAAATTTTTCATAGTGTGTGGTGGACTTCTGATTTTTTTTTCCAATTTCTCATAGAAAGTGATTTTTAGTCCCATCAAACTGATAATGTAGACTGCATTTCTGATTTTTTTTTTTTTTTCCCAATTTTTTCATAGGAAGTGATTCCTTGCTTTCATCAAATTGATATTTAAATATTTTTTTCATAATTGAATTGAGCCCCCTGAATTAGTGATCGAAAATAATGGATGTTATAGGAATACAGAGCTTTGGCTAAATTGGCTTCTTAAGAATACTGAAGTCACCAGCAATATCCCAGCAACAGCTAAAGGTGGAAAAATAACCTACCCGGCCCAGCCCATGGCAGGTTAAGCAAAATGGCAGGCCAGGCCTAACTGGACCTGCCACCAAGGGTAGGCCGGGTTAGGCCTACCTCTTGGTCATAAGGGTTGGCCCAGCCTGGCCTGCCAACCCTAACTCAACGGGTTTTGGTGCGGGTTGGCCTGAATTTTTTTTATTTTGTGTAATTTTTTTTTGCTAACTTTTCAAATATCAATAATTCAATTAAATTAATTTTTTTTGCTAACATTTTAAATATTAATTCAATTTTAATACAATTAAATTTTAATATAAGAAAAATTAGATTTATTCATTTATCAAAAAATAAAATAAAAAATAAAAAATTACAATAATTATTGCCTCGTTAAAAACCTTACCCAGAAAAACCCAATTGGGACAAAAACTTGGTAAGGAAAAAAGAGTGTAATAATTGACAATTAATTTACAAATTACAAAGTTACAATTTACAAAACAACTAATTTGGGAGTTGACTAGGACCTCCCTCATTTGTATCAAATATATTACAAAATTGAAATGATTCTATTAAAGTATCGTCGACAACCTTGTATTGATCATGTTGGCGTAACCGTTCCCAATCTCGAAGACATGTGAGGACTTCAATAATTTTTTGTGAAAGTTTAGTCCTTATTTCATTTAAAATTCTTCCACTTGCACTAAATGTTTGTTCAGATGAGACGGTTGAGATAGGAACTGAGAAAACATCCAGGGCAAGTCTTGATAATACTGGAAAAATACATTTTCTAGTTTTCCAATATTCTAAGACATCAAAGTTGACTCTTTGTTGTGGATCCATTGGTAGCACGTTGGGGGTTCCCAAATCTTGGTGCAGCTCATTATTTTGTAGGTGCATGGAGGATAGTACATTCATTATTGATGCTCCTGAGGAGGAGGTTGTGCTTCGAGTTCGGGTCCTCTTCGGCCTATTAAGTGCACTCCAAGAGTCGAAGTCTTCATTTGTTTCTTCTGATGCTACTTCTTCGGGTATTTCGCCTCTTCTCTGGTTCCCATACCTATTTTCATATTGGAAAAATACATCTGCAAGACACTCTCTTATCTCTCCTAGTTGATTGGCATATGCTTCGTCTCGTAAATTTTCACTTAACGTGTCTAAACCATTTTCTAAACGTGTTAATTTAATTCTATGATCAAATATGGTAGCTAAACAATAAAGAAAAGGAATGAGTTTCCAATATTTTTTAAATTTTAATTCCATTGCCTCTATTTGTCCTACTAAAATTTCATTATTTCTATTTTTTTTTTAAATAAACCAAAAATTTTTATTATTGTATGTATTACCAATTGACTAGTAGGATAATACACACTAGAAAGTTATTGTATGTATTACCAATGGACTAGTAGGATAATATACACCAGAAAGTTGTAAGTGGATTGATAAAAATATTTAAGAAAAGAATGAAATTTTTGAGTCATATGCCAATCACTGTCTATCAAATAATAAGGACTCCTATTATTTACTACAAAATAACTAATTAAATTTGAATAAAGTAAACATGAATCAAACATTAAATAAGTACTATTCCATCTAATAGGCATGTCTAATGCAAAAGTTCTAGGAGACATGTTTGATTTTATACAAACATCTTGAAATTTAGCATTTCTTCTATTACTATTAGTAATCCAAGCTAAAGAATCTCTAATTTTATTAATATTTTTTCTAATTTTTGTTCACAATATTAAATTAATAATGTGAGATATACAACGTTAGTGAAAAAACTTTAAATTATCATAAAAAGGAAAATTTATTCGAAAAAAATCTATAGCTTTACTATTAGCACTTGCATTATCTAAAGTTAAACTTGTTACTTTGTGAACAATATCATAATTTTCTAAAACTTCAACAATCTTATTGTAAATTTATTGACCACTATGATCCACATCCATTAATCTAAATCCCAATAAAGATTTATTTAATTTACATTCATTATCAAAATAATGACTAGTCACACAAATATAATCTTGTTTAGCTCTACTGCTTCAAATATCGGCGGTTAGAGCTGATGCGTGTTTCCTACAATATGCAATATGTAGCAAGTATACTAGTCGCACTAAGTAATAAAGTGATGAGTGAGTATCGTTCCCACGAGGATAGTGTTACTAAGTACCGATTTTTCTAGTTAAAGTCCTAATTGAAGCAACAATATATTGGATTGATAGACGATTAACAAACTAAAAACAATGCAAAACCCAACAACTTAATTAATTAAACATGCTAAAAAAAATGCTAGGGTGTTGATTTCACCTAGATACGCTAACTCAAATCATAGAATCTATTACCCAAATTCTAATTCCTTGATTGAAAATCGAATTCCCTAAGTTGTAAAACATAACTTCTCAGGCTACATTTCTCTACTTATCCCTATTAAGCTTCCGCACCCAACAATTTGAAGATTAATAGTTCAAAGTTCTTTTAAGCTTTGTGGAATTCTATCTAGATTTCATAGATCGCTAAACCTATCTCTAGCGTTTGCTAATCTATGGTATTTATCCCAAGAGGCACAATCACAAATCACTTCTCAGTCTCATTGTGAACAACACACATTTGAATGGTGATCAAGCATCCAAAAGACATTAAGCAAAGAGTAAACACTCAATCATGAAATTAAAACTCAAAGTAATTCAATCCATATAATTTGAATCATGTATCAATATTACATCAAACCCTAGCTAAACAACTCAGTTCATACTCAAAACGAAATAAAACAACAAAAACAAACTGAATCAAGATTCACATTGAAAAGCAAGCAAAAGATGGAGAAATCTTCTCTAATTTGAAGCCCAAATCTTCAATAATCTTCCCCTTCCATGAGCTGCCTCCCAAATCACGAACCAAGCCCCATTTTCTCTTCCTTTTGCTCTAATTATACCTCTCTCACTTAAGGATGAAGCCTTAGCAAGCCAAAACGCGTCGTTTTATTTTTAGATCTGACGCAGGTTTCGCCGCGGCGAAGCTTTTCCTCACCGCGGTGAATACTTCCAGGCCCCATTTGAGAATGATAGAGGTCGAATCTGGAAAGGTGTTAAACATATGAATTGTAGCCCTTTTAATTATCTTTCTGTAGTTTAAGAATCAGCACAATCCGAGGTCTACAGATCAAGTTATGACAGAAATACTGAAGCACGTCCAAAGACGTTTTTCTTCAGTTCCAGCGTACTTTTCACGACTTCAAGCCAAGTTTTCACCCTTGTCCAGTCAGAATTAGAAAAAACCCAAACATGAAAGTTGTAGCTCTCTTCTTAGCTTTCCAAAGCTTCTAAATTCAGGTCATTCCGATTTTCCAAGCTCAAGTTACACAATTTACGCTCAAAACTGTCATTTATGCTAAAAATCATCGTTTAGGCCTACAAAGACAAATTAAGAATTAGGTAGCAATTATGGCCCAAATGTATGAAAAGTATCCTAAATCCTATCAAAATTCAATGCAAAATCATAGTGTAAAATATGCTTATCAACTACCCCCAACTTAAGATTTGCTCGTCCTCGAGCAAAAAGGAATAAAAACTCAAAGGAGAAAAGCAACAAACAACCAAAAACACAAAAACAAACTAAAATGAACAAACAAAAATTAGGCTCAAACTCAACACAAGAATTGCCTAGAATTTAAACAAGTCTCTAAGGTTGTTGAAAAATTATTACTAGAAAATGTTCAACACTCCAAGAAGTTATAAGTTGTATCGACTATCTTTCTCTATTGATCCCCCGAGTAGGTGATCCCCACTTCAGTCCACATTCCGACTTCCCGATTATTTTTGCAGAAATGTAAAGTTTATCAAATGGTGGCAGACTCCATAAGCCTAAGTATTGAACTACTCTCCACTAATGTGGACTAGACATCGCTAAGGATCAAAAGGTCTTTGCAAGCTTGTAACGTTAGGCTCGGGTAGTGGGCTCCAAGGAAAGGATAAGATAAACAAAGTAAGAGAACTCGGTTTTCCTCATGCAAACACTAAGAGCTACACCAATCTCCACTTTTTTTCTCAACCACCAATCAAAGTGTCAACCATTTTACAACCCTCAAACTTAGCATTTCTTATTTTTGATTTTGAATTGAACTAAAGAAATTCTTTTTTTTTTTCTTTTTTTTCTTTTTTTTTTTTTCTTTTTTCTTTTTCTTCTTCTCTTC